CATTAGAGATAGAAAGAGGATTGAGGCAGTGGAAGCTAGAGCTAGTTGGTCAATAATAGTAGTGATTCAAGGATCATGTTTATGATCAAACACGTCTATTGTTAGCAAAATAACTTCAGTCTACACTGCGTCTTTCCTGTTTCTATCTGTAATACCATGTCCATCGCTTCCTACGTCCTAGTTTCTTGTCTGCCAACCCATAAATATTGTGGTTCTACTTATTTTGATTAGGCTCACTGAAGAAGTCTCCTCTTTGCTTTTGATTCTTCTTTTCTCATCCCCCTACGATCTATTTTCCTGAAATAAAGAATATTATCTTGATCTAGTCGTCTTCTTTTTGCTGATTCTTGCTGTTGCCTGGTCTTCTCCGAGTTTGTTTAGGCAATATGCAAAGTTTTGGCTGATCCCGGACCCTCTGCGACTTTTGGTCTGTCATGCTCTGGACTTTTCGAGAATCATCCAATGTGAGGACCCTACCAAAATCCTTCTTAAATCTAGACTTGAGATCTATGAATGTAAACAGCTTACGCCTCTCAGTCTCGTAACTTTCCTCTAATTTCTGGATGGAGCCGTGGTAAGTTATTTCATAAACTGTATCCGAATTGGAGGAAAGTTATGAGACTGAGGGGCGTAAGCTATTTACGTTTATAGATCTCAAGTCTAGATTAAGGAAGGATCTAGGTAGGGTTCTCACTTTGGATGATTTTCAAAAACTCCAGAGCATGAGCTACCAGATGTCACAGATGGTCTGGGATCTGATAAATAAGCGGCAAGAAAAAAAATTGCTTAGCTCTTGGATAATAAGGTAAAGCAAGACCAAGCCAAGCCTGCAAATTTTGATGGTTCTGTGTTGAAGACATCAACTGCCACAGACGACGATAGGACTAAGTTAGTAAAACTATCTTCAATCCTTCTTGATTTAAAACTACGGATCTCTTAAAGAAGTGGTTACATTTTTCACTAGGTAATGAAGGAAACATTCTTAGTGATATTCTGGTGGAAGTTGTCAACATAGCGGATAAATATCCAAAAGATACAAAGCAAACGATGGAACTGGAAATAATCCCACGGATCCTGAGACAGCAAGAACCGATACAAAGGAGCAGATTGGCTGGTATTTTGGAAAACAAACATTACAAAAGAATGAAAAAATAGTTCTTCAAGTGGATAAGGGAGGAGCGACAGTTGTAATGGACAGGAAACAGTACACGGAGAAAACGGAAAGTAACCTTGGCGACCGGAACACCCATCAAATACTAAGGAAGGATCCAACCACGAAGATCAACGGGACGCTAAAGAAAATGCTCAAGGAAATGCATACAAATGGATAAATTGAAATTTTTAATCAAAAATGACGCAAGACCACCGACAGCCTACGGACTACCGAAGATGCACAAGGAAGGGAATCCTCTAAGACTAATAGTCAACAACAAGCATGGAGCAATGCATAGACTAGCGAAATTGATTTGCTTGAAGCTCAAGAAAGTAAATGACAGACTCTTGAATACCGTCAGGAATTTCTATGAATTTTCTCAAAGGATCTAGAACATTGGGTTTGTGGGGTCGGAGCTGTTGGTCAGTTTCGATGTACAATCCATGTACAATCCATGTACACAAACATATCAGGTGAGAAAGCGATAAGCGCTTTAATGTAGATATTGGAGCGAGAAGAGGACATCCTGGAAGCAGAACGGATACGGAAGTAAGCATTAACACGACTGATGAACCTGACAGTAAGGACCATATATTTAACATTTAACGGCAGTATCAA